CCCTGAAATGAATCGATCCAGAAAAGATAAGGAGCATTAGGATTCAAAGATGCCACTCATGCATACAGCTGTCGTTTCACTATATTATGTGAAACTTGCAAGCATTTCTAATAAAAAAATCTAAAAGAAAGCTTATTTTTCCTTGTACTGTTTTCACCTCTTTCATTTGACTTACAACATGCTGTGGGAGCTGAAGAAGGCAGTGGAGAGCACAATCACACTTCCAAAATATCTGAGAGGTTTTTCTACAAACTCTGTTCACATGACCTGGCAGCATTTCAGATTTAATACTCTTTTCATTCATCCCTAATATTAGACAAGCACTGAATTACTGACTAAACTGCATTTTTCAGGTGTCTGAACTGGCCCATCACACCAGAATAAGGAAGACAGAAATCCCCCAGTATTAACTGCAGTTAAATATTAAGGCATTGAAGCTCATTAAGCTCAATGGCACTGAGAACAATCATCACGTCTTTAACTTTAGGACTAACAAACCCAACACACTGATCAAGGAATTGACTGTTGTAGACTGACGTGAACTGACTCTGGGCACATTTTATAATGCTTAACCAAAAAAAAAGGGCATTTCATCATAGCATTTGTATTTCAAAGTAAAATTTCGGCATCCTTAAGTATGAACTGAAACGCATTTTGCTTAAAATTTATTAAAGAGATTTAAAAAAAAACAGGGAAAGATATATGGAATGAAAAAGTACCCAAGATGTGTACTATGCACAAAAAGCATGCTCTTCTTCAAAGGAATTTTTGCATGCATGAATTGCTGCATGTGCTTGTTCAGTATTTATTTTACTATCTGTTTGATTTTTGTATACCACTTCTAATCCATCAAAACTGTCGTGCTTGTATGTTTAAAACCAGGTTCCTAAACCAGTAGAGCAGATGACTATTTAATTGAAAATAATGACACACATTAATTTTCTAACCTGCAGGGGTACTAAAAACTAACTTCAAATCAGACTAGCTATGTAAATCACAGACAGTAACAGTTGTTTCTATCTGCTTGTGGGACAATAGCATATGTTGTCAAACTTGATTTAATTAAAAAGTCTGTGCAGTCAAAACCAGCATGATGCATGACACTTTTGTTCAGGATTTTTTGCTAAGAAATGAGGATTCCAATAGGCCGTGTTTGTAAATCATTTTGGTAAAGAAAATAAACTGCTCCAGATTTTCCTTAGAAATGTTTCCTTCTTGGGAATTTTTTAACTAACATATTTTCCAAATGGCTAATTTGATTTTTCTTAACTTGAAACCTTTTATGAAGAAATTTGCTAATTAAAATATACAGTTTCTCCAAATCATAGCTTTGTTTTTAGTCAAAATCATCTTTCTTCTGTTTTGTTTTTTTTTTTTTAATAAAAGGTTTAAAAATGTTTATATTGTTTAAAATTGATATATTGTTGCCTGAAAGTTCCCTCTCTGGCATACCTCTATGGCTGAAAGCAATTTACAGAATATTTGGCCAGAAACTGAGACCAGCCAACCTTATTTGTCAGAATCAACGTCTAAGCAGCTTTCCTATTTGCCAAAAAGAGTGGTAGACTGTCCTTAATGGTTGCTGGAGATGTAAATGAAACATCACGAGAAACAAACGGACCACAAATGCACCCCGTTTCCCAACTCTGCCAAAAAGGAAATGGCAGTAGGCAGGCAGCAAGAGGAAATTTTCTAGGATTTTATTCCAGCAAGACTGACCCAGACAGAAGATAATGGGCACTGGGGGGCATTACAGATTAAAAGTTCCTGTTCATGCTTATGGGAAGATGGCGCCAGCAAATAATGAAAACTAAGTTATACCTGTCAGAAAGACGCAAATTGTATGAAAGGTTAGGGAACCATCTCAACGCTGAGCTCAAAACAGTCTTTTGGTGGGCCTCATGTTAACATACAGCCGAGTGCCACTCAGTAGTAATGTGAAAAACATCAGGCTACTGAGGGTTGCCAAAACATGATCTGATGTTGTGCATTCAGCCCTGAGGCTGTAGATCCACTTCCTTAACTAAATAAATCAGGGGACATCTGTTTCTGACAACAGCACTAAAAACGTAATTCCACTGATCTTTGCATTTGAGAGGAAAAAATATCTAGAAGACTAAATATAATGCAAGAGTCACTGCCTTAGGAAGTCTGTAATACGATGCATGGACGCATCCTTTTCTGAAGGCAATGAATCTAGTTAAGCATCAATTTGGATCACAACTGTCCCAGAGAAAGTCCCAACTTGTTGGACCAGCTTTAGGAAGGAAAGAATTTAGACAAGCCACATTCCAGTTTATCCCATGCCAGGATCCCAGGATTACTGAGGTTGGAAGGGACCTCTGAAGCTGACCTTGTCCAACTGCAATTCAAGCAAGGTCACTGTGTCCAGACAGCTTCTGAGTATTTCCAAGGATGGAGGCTCCATAACCACCTTGGACAACATGGGCACAGTAAAAATATGTTTCCTGATGTTCAGACTGAGCCTCCACTGTTTCAGTTTTTACTCACTGCCTCTTGTCCTGTCACTGAGCTCCTCTGAAAAGAGCCTGGCTTTTTGCACCCCCCTTCAGGTGTTTATACACATTGATAAGATACCCCAAAGCCAAGAAAGAACTTCTCAAGGCTGAACAGTCCCAGGTCTCAAAACCTTATGTCATAGGAGAGGTGCCACAGTCACCTCATCACGTTTGTAACTGGACTTTCTCCACTGTGCCCATGTTTGTCATGAACTGGGGAGCTCAGAACTGGAGCCAGTACTCCAGGTGTGACCTGTGATGATTACATTCCTGTTCATCCCTTGACAATGTTACAGTAATGTCCTCCGGTCTGTGAAAACCACTTTTTTTTTAACTCCGTGTTGAAGGATGTATTTTTTTGTGTGTATTCCATTTCCATTGATTAGAAATGTAAAGATGAAGGGAAAATGGATTCTCTTTCATCCACTACACCAAGAATTCCTGGTTTTAAAACCAGCTTTTTGTAAAGTGATTGATGCACAGCTATGTTCCAACAAAGGTAATTTCCCCAATACTTAACAACATAATCTGTATAGTATAGAGCAAAAAGGTAAAACAGTTCAGTTTTATAAAAAAAAACCCCAAAGATCTAAATTTGCACCTTCTTTTGCCTCCAGAAATTATCTGTAAATTAAGCAACTGGAGAATACTGATGTAAATATTATGGGACCCCAGAATAAATTATCTGGGGTTTTCTTCTCTATGTGGAAAATGAGGTATCATGAAAATTACAGTAAAACAAAAAGCAAACATCATCCTGAGCAATAGACAACACATTTAAACCCTTTCCTCTTGGAGTTGCTACAAAATCCTTTTTCCTATATTAAAGGTAATTCAAAAACTGAACATAAGGAAATAGATTTTGGTAGCCTAAAACCTTTTCTAGCTGTTTAATTATAAAATGCTACAATGTAAATTATGCATCATAGTTCAAAGAATTATTTTGAAAATTTATGCTTTCCTTGGTTTATCATTATTATCAATCTACTGAAAAATCTACAGATCTTTTCTAATGAATACGTATTTGTCTAAACTCCTTGAAAAAAAGCATTAATCAAATATCACTTTAATTTTATTTTTTTTTTAAACCTGAAAAACATGCTAATCATTAACAGATCCTAATTGAGTATGACTATTATAATTGCAAATTCTTCTATGACTCCTACTAAAGAACTATGTCTCTCTCCTTTAAGAACTAAGGAGGAGTTATTCTTAAACTCTACTAGTGCAAAATGCCCAAGTTCTGGCCTGGACAAAGGTCACAAATGAAAGCTGGATTTAGATCTTGTTAAAACACATAAAAATAAAAGTTCAATAGTCATATATTTATTTTTCTTCAACTCATGAGGACATGAAGATAGATATTAGAGTTGTTGTTTTAGCTTTAAATGCAATTCAATTTGTCTTAAATGGACACAAACCAAAATTATAGCTTCTTGTTGACTAACCACAAAACACAGCTTTTCTTTAGACAACATTATAGCATGTGGAACAAGAATTAAACCTTCTCTTTCAGTGAGCAAAACCTGAACAAAGTTGTGCAACTTTGTGCATTTCATTAAACAGTTTTAGTATCAAATTGAAAATATGGTGTGACTATTAATAAAGATTCTGCTGTTTAAAGACAAAAACACTGAGATGTTCAGATTGAATTTCTGCATAGTACTTACCTCTGAACACCTAAAGAATGCTGTAATACAGAAATATTGTTACTACAATTCCTACTTATTGAAATCAATAGGAAGTTATACGAGCAACCACTTGTGGAAATGGAATGGAGAACACCACTATGCATTCACCTTACAAAAACCATAGTTTTCCATCTACTATATAACTGGTTTCTAATCATCAGGAAGAGAGTGGGTAACATAAAATAAACAAGAATCCTCCAGCTCTATGGTATATAAAGTTTATCAAAGTAATGGTCCTAAAATATCTCTGATGGGATGAGAATTTCTTTGGAACACACCCACAATAAGAGCCGATTTTCTTGGATAAGAACAATCTGTTTAAATAATAGTTCCTTGCGGCCAAACGGAAGGTCAGAGCAGTGCAAGAATAGAACTGTGACTGTAGACTACAGATGCTACAGACACTGGGAAACCTCTCATATATTAGGGAATTTCAAGGACAACAGATGGACATATTTGGATCTGCGGAGCATTCATGCTTCCCACTGAACTGTTTATTAACTTCACGAGTACACCAAAAGTCTAACAAAGCAATAAACTTACAGGACTTTCCTTTCTCACAGGAAACAGGCTCTTTCATAGTTTCATTTCCGGTAGAATTATAGGATGGAAGCCTTAATGGAGATGTTACTCAAAAGAAACAGTTGAAATAGATTATTTCTGCTTTTGCCATTAATGTGTGCTTAGGGAAACATTTACAAGTGCAAGTGCTTAATGAATGGGAGAAATAATTGCCTCTAACAAGTAATGCAGTGTGACATTAAAACAACTTAATAGTTAAAGAACTCACCGATTCTTTTCTGCTCATAGTTTTGCTTTGGGAACGGGAGCGGGAGATTGTATTGAAAAAGGAATCCTTTTTTGATGCAGACAAAGGTGGAGATCCTGTAAATTCACGTCCTCCAGACAAGCTCTCTATGCTTGGAGATGAACTGATGTTTTTTGAACTTTGGCCTGTAACGCAAGTACGAAGAAACAAAAGAATTAATCAATGGGCTGTTCCTTTTCCCTGTAAATATTTCCTTAACTGACATTCACTAAGATTCACAGATAGCTCAACACAGAACGAAATGTTGAGTGTGTCAGCATGCACTGTATATATAGATACACAGACAATTACAGATATATAGATACATACACAAACACACAGTACCCAGAGTGTGTATATATATATATGCTAAATGATATATATATATATAAAATCTATATAAATACCATCTTAATATATATACCCTATTATATGCACAGGCTGAAAACCACCTCTTGCCTGTGTGGCATGATGAGTACCAACTCATAATAAGAAAAATAATCTGATGTCATAAACACTGCAAAGGAAACCCTTTTTCCCTCAACAAATAAACTATAAAACTTGGCAACGACAGTTAAGAACAATAATGTCAGATTCCAAGAATGGGTTGGACACTGAAGATCTAGATGACAATACCTAGGCTTACAAAATGAAAAAGTTCTCATGCTTCAAAGTTTAAGGCCATCTGTAACTAACAGACATTTTGATGAAATCTACTCAATAGTTGTTTTTTGTCATTTCATGAAGCTTTCCAAAAGAATCTAGTGCTGTCCACTGTCATAGTGAAGACATCAGAGTAGATGCCTGGGCTGTTACACCATAACACTGCATGCAGGAGTCAACCTTTTGTAGGGACCATTTCTTCCAATTGAGGCCCACGGCATGTTTTGAAATATTTAATTTAAAATTTTATTTTGATTAGCTCCAGAAGAAAATAAACCAAACAATTAATATGCCTGTTTTTATTAACTTTCATTAAGGAAGTGTTGAATTAGGACAGGTGCTAGTTTAAAGAAACGTTTCTATTATGCGTATGAGTAAGTCAATATGGAGTCAGCCAATGCAGTTCTAGAATTTTCCACTCTGAAAAAAATTAAACTAAAGCTCTAGAATTCTTCCCTTCTTTTGTTTTGTCCACTATTCTGATGAGTTTGCTTTTGTTCTTTTTCCTTTCCTTTGTTTTTAGTGCTGCCATCTAAAGAATTAAGAATGATCCTCTGAAATCAAATCACTCAGATGTCTCAGGTGCAGCTTCATCTCCTTTGCAAAGTTATCATCAAATTCACAGAAACCAGTGGTTTCCCACCATCTGTGCCAGCTTTACTCCCAGATAAGCAACATATTACCGCAAAGACCTTGCAATGTATTTAGTCTTTTGTCATTGTGGATGCACTACCAGTTCTGAAAACACAAAACTAACTCCTTTTCCAGAATGGGTTACTGTTCCCTTCATTATGCACTGTGGTCTTCCCCTGTGAGACAGGTTTATAGAGAATAAAAGAAAACTAAAAGACAAAGAAATGAGAAAATAGGGGCAGAAAATGCTGCAGAAAACACAGACAGAAATTTAGATTTAGATAAAAGAGGAGACCAGCTCTGCTGAGATCAAACATGTTAAACCGAAGGAAACAACTAGAAAAAGTTGTTACCCACACAAAAACATCTCAATTAAGTCACTTAAGATCTAGAACCGTAACTATCCTCAAAGTGGCATGGAAGTCAGTGGTGCTGTGGTTGGCCACCTGCCTGGAGGTGACAAAGCCCAAGGCAAGTTCTCAATGGTGTCTGACCCATGCAGCACATATTGCACAGCTGCAGCCACATGAAACCAGCAACTCACATTTTCTTAAGAGAATAAATGCAGATCTACTTAAAATGTCCTCTTCGCAAGAAGACAGTTAAATGCCAGGAGACTGAACTAGCAAAGTGACAAACGTGACAAAACAGACCAAAAATGACAAAACGCAGTAAGGGACCTAGGTTTAATGTTCTTGACATTTTCTGCAAGAAAATCAGCATATAAACTGCTTCCCACCTTCTCCTTCATTCTCTTCTACCTTATTTTGCTCATCTCTCCCTTATTATGCCCTGCTTCTCATACTCCTGTGGACCTTCCTCTGCCTCTCTTCTTCAGATTCTCCCACATTGCCTCTTCTGCTTCAAGTTCCTTTTTCCAGCTTCTTCCATTATATATTGTTTCCTTCTCACCAACTTAATTAACTGCTTTTTAATGTTTCTTAGCCCTCCTCTACTTACTTACCACCTATCACTTAGTCTGAACAGCTTCCTTAAAGTGCAGGAGACAGAGGCTTAACTTCTGCCTTCACATTTTATAGAGAAACAAGGTATGCATTAATCATATGAATATGGATCTTCAGTTCTATAAGTGTAAGTGAAAAAGGAGAATACACTGTGTGGCAAACAGCAATAATATTTCTGTCAGAAGGAAGTTTTTTTAGAAGATTTCTAATTTTAGGATAAAATCATGTCACTTGGCAACACCATTATCCTTACAGTTGCCTTTATGTAAGAAGAAGACTTTTTAGGCATTTCATAGTGGCAATTTACAATGGAACTGTGGTTTTACAGTAGGTAAAACTTAAAAATAGCTTGGAACAGATGGAATTACATATTTTAGCAAATAAAGCCTTTTTAAAAGAAATTCACACAGCTAAGCCAGAGCAGCCAATATAAATGCTAAATATAAAAAAATTCTATTTGGTGGACTGAGTAAAGTACAATGAAAAAGTATTTTATTATGTATAAATCAGATTAAATGGGCTCTCTTCCATCCAAATAATAAGAAGATATCTTCCACATAGGATGAAGATTAAAAATCCCCAACCAAAAAAAGAAAAGAGTTAAACCATGAACAATGCATGTTTTTCACACGTCTCCACTTCATGGCCCATGCTTAACCCACTTCACCTGCAAAGAAGCAGATTATGTGTTAAAATTCCATCTAATTTGAGAGAGAGACACTTTAAACATATTTGAGGAACCCATGCACATGAAATAATACAGTTTGGTAAAATGACGGAAAACATGATTTGTAGGAAATTTTTCCTCTGTATATTCTGTCTTTCGGTTCTAAGGAAAAAAGTCCAAAATATAACAGGAAATTGAAAAGACAGAGAACTATCCTTATGGCCACCGCTTTACTTACTAAATAGCTACTCTTCAAAAGATGGATCAAAGTTTAGAGGAATGGAATATACAACTACCTGCATAACCAAACAGAAGAATAAATATGTATAGTTGAGATTTCGTGGACAGAACAATACAACTGTCTTAAAAGGAATACAAAGAGCTTTGGCTTATCTGGCTCTTATGGACCACAAGATATAACGAAAATGAAAAATAAAAGCAATACAAAATTGAAAGAAGCCAAGACAGAGATTCAATAAATCAGAAGTGATAAAAATACTATTTCTGTATGTTTTATACACAGGTAAGAGCAACATTTAGGATGCACCTTATCCTCCTGCATGAATAAGCATCCCTGAGAAAACTATCACCAGGAAACACTAAATTTTTATTCAACTTCAACCATGTGAACAGTGCTATGACACTATATGATTATTTGGGGATGTGATCAAGACTTAAGCAAGACAGAAAGAATACCACTTATGAATAATTACAGTGTGTTGCAAATCAGAAAGCAGAGTTCTTGGATTCAATTTTCAAGGGAGTCATCTTTTCTACGATTGTAAATAAGAAAGTGGAAAGACAAATCACACCAACCATACATGTTTTTCCTAATGTAACAAAAAAATCTATCTATAATTTTTCCAACAAAGACTTTTAGTGGAACATTTAACTGAAGTCACTGTGATGCTTTTGAATTCTTTCAGATTTATTATGTGTGCACCCATTTCCAAGGCAATAACAAGCCTTACCTAACTTTGGAAATAACACTGTAGCACCAATGCAGAGATTTAAGGATCTTGGGACGATTACACAAAATGCCATTTGTATCTTCTTTGTCATGTGTCATACTGATTCCATATCTTTCTTATTAAGCAGTGTGGTATGTTTTCCTCACTCAATAGCTAAACAAGAAATTAATTTGAGAGAGTTTCTAGTATCCTCAAAAGAAAAAGAAAGAAAAAAACCAACCCAGAACTCTTACCCTCCATGTAGAATAAAAATGTATAAAGCGATGCATAATAACTAACCAAACTCATCTCCTTCTTTAGCAGCTTAATCAGCAACTTGAGAACATCACTGAATCAAAACTCTCATTTTCCTCTGCTCATTCTATCAATCTTAGATAAATACATTATGCCTCCTTAAAAGAAGATTAGAGAAATCTAATCTCTGACCATCTAAGCACATACCAGAAGGTCCTAAAGCCAATATGAAACAGGCTGAAGAAATACCAAGCATGGAAATTAAATAAATGCTTACAAGGCACACAGAACAAATAGTTAAGGATTCCTGACGTAAGCAGTAGTCAGAACATGCTTCTGTGTAGGATGTCTCAAATATATATATATGCACACTAAGATGCATAAATTGTTCACAGTAATGATGCACAGGGTTTCATGCACTAAAAATACACACTTCTGAAGCAAAACCTTTCAGTGCTACCTTCATGTGCTGGCTCCCAACTGGCTCACTACTTGTCTGTTGCTAATGATACTGGGGCTGACCCCAGGCTTACAAATATTCTGCCCCAAAACCATTTGGAAAATACACAGGTGTGGTAGTGGGAAAAGGGACCAAACTGTTGGTATGGCTGGCAGGGCAGAGGGTGTAGACATGTAATATCTTGAAAAGAAGAAGAAAAGTTTAAATGTCATGTGATCTATAATAAGGACTTAGAATAAAGTAAAAAATGTTGACAAGAGAAAACTTACAATGAGAGAAACCCAAGCTTCAGGTGTTGCTACATTTGAGTTAAGTTATAGTGGAGACAACCATGGAATTTTGGAGGTCTCTAATAACATATATAAAAAATCAGAGGAAGACCACAAAAGGCACACAAAACTGATGGTTCATTCTGTTTGGCCCCTACAGAAGGAAAGAATAGCTTCATAGATACAAGGAGAACAAGGACAAAGATATCAAGAACAGAAGTACAGCACAATATATAATTCAAAACCAGTCTGAACTGCTCATCTATTACTCTGTAGTTGCTATAGTCAGGAAGTAGAGTATTAAAATTTGCAAAAAAAAATGAAATGAGTTTTATGAAACTTTTCAGATAAATTGGTTTTCCCTTTCTCCTGCACTGAGACTGGAACAAAGGCTTCCATCAAACCATCTCATCACACAAATCAGTACTCTTATTACTTCAGGCCAAGGCAGCTAAGCTCCTCTTTAGAGTCAAGTGTATCAAAGTAGCTGTTCAACTTAAAACATCCGCCTCAAACAGAATAGGGAAGTAATGCAACCTAAAGAGGCACTGATGGTAGAACGGTCCCACAGGACAAAGGTGAAACAGACGACAAAGTACAAGGCAAATGCACATTTTTAACGAAGATGGATGCTGGTGTACAGCGAATGTAAGTGAAGGGCCACACACAGCACACCAGGGAGCGATGAAGTGAAGCTGATTTTTTCTCTCTACACAACAGTGCCACTCGGTGGATGGCCAACGGCAGTGAATGGAGATGCCACGCTTGGGAAAACCCGCGGGGCGGCTTTGCGGCAGTACCTGGGAGGGCAGGGGGATGCTGCGCAGGGCCCGGCAGCCCAGCATCTGCCTCTGCCTCGCCTGCTGAACAAACAACAGCGTTAGAAGGTGTCCCCAGCTTGTGCAATTCACTGATGTAAAGAGCTGCAACTGCAGGGTTTGTCGCTGGAAGCCCCTACTTTGAACACAAACAGCATTGTGAGAGCTGGCAAAAAACTCTGGAAGTTTTAATAGCACATTGTATCCTGCATCCTGACATGTGCAGAAAAGCAGTGGTTTTAAGATATCAGTTTATAGCTAAATCTAAACTAAAACAATCAATCAAACCCATTTTGTTTCTGATACTTTGTACTGACAGTGTCATTTTGCTAGTCTGGGAGAATAATATTCTTACTGTCAATAAGATTTCATAATTGCCTAAAAAATGTGGTTTTTTTTTTTTTTGAAAAGGAAAAAAAAAGCATTTGTTAATCAGTTAGCCCTTTAAGTTTTATTCAGTTCTGCTATCAGTAAGGACAACTTCTTTTTCCTTCTGAAAAAGCACACTCATTTTCTAGTCAGGGTTCATAAATAATTCTAAATAAGGAGATTATTTCTTTAGGGCATATTGGGTAGCTGTGGAAATTCTGTTCATGTTACAACAAATACCACAGAAATATCAGCTCATAAAAACAAACAGTAGTCTGGAAACTCTTTAAACAGCTGATCACAGTTTTGGCAAAACTTCATCTTCAAACTGCTCCTCTAACGTGTCCTTGTGATAAACCAGCATTTACATCAAAAGCCTTTTGGATTTCAGCGCAAAAGGACCTAGAAGGAAAACTACCAGGGAAGAAGTGAAAAAATAAGTGCATTTTTGCTGGCAACACACTGCGGTTTGGGATTCAAAGAACATCCAATATTTGAATGCTCAAGAACCCAGTGGAACACAAAGGGCAACAATTCTGCCTTTTTTGTTTTCATATTTTTTTGTTACCAGTATTTTTCTCTTTCAAGACAATGAACTCAGGTGACAATCCAATGAAGTCGATTGGAATCCAGACTTTGTGCCAGTGAATTCCTTCACTGTGTAGATCAAGAGACTATTTGAATCCCTATTAGCAGGCTACCTTGCATAACTAATCAGTAATGATACCTGATCTTCTTCTGTGCTGAGGACAGACTGAATGGGATTAATATACTATCAGGAGGAACTGATAGGTAGTGGGTACTTCGTTCAACTCTGATTTGTAATGTTGAAGACTCATCTAGAATTACAGGCTTGCAATTATTTACTTTTTTATATTAGTCTCTTGTTTTTTCATTTACATTATGGAAATTATACATGTGTTTTTCTTGAAGGAGTTCAGTAAGTACCCAAACTTCAAAGCAAAAAATAATTACTATTGATTATGTAAACCAATCATCCCTCCTTTAGAGTACAGCACAAGCTACCTCTGGAGGTGGCAATAGGAAAGACACTTGTCACTGCTGCTGTCTGTGAGTGGTAACTTTCTAAACAGAGCTGTTAAAGCTGGGCGAGGATTATTTTGCCAGTCCTGCAAGATATTTTGTGACCAAGGACTTCTTTACACTTAATAAAAAATTAGATCAGGCAATTAATTTAATCCCTTCAAATTTATAATCTACATATTAATTTAAATTACCAGCACTACTTGAGCATTCTAAACCTAAAAGGAGTAATACAATATGAGGGAAATGGATGGCTTCTTTTATGACTTGGTGCCTATCAGGCTTACAGCACTTCTGTCTATTATACTGTTCAACTGAGCATCTGTGAGTGTTAGATCGACTGGAAGTGCAGATGTCTATCAATTTAAATCCTAAATCTGTGCCTCTGCCTATCTCAGCTAGATAACCAAGCTCCAGGAGGTTGAGCAGAGCTGAAAATACAGTGAAGAACAGGAATATAAGATAATTAGTGACAGCTAGTCAGTAACTTGGGAGCCCTATAGTTACAAACAATGGCAAATAGGTTTTAGATACTCAAAAGCTAGAGCAGAATCCAAACTTCGAAAAAAGCCAGTGTAGAAGGTAGAAAGGCATGTATAAAGTTAATCACAAAGAGGAGTGGATAAGAGATTCTGAGACATTAATATGTTCTAAATCCTGTATCTTAATGACTGGGATAGAAGTACCCGCAACTTCTCAGAGCTGTGGGGGGTGCTCTCATTCACTGGAGACTGTACAGCAATTTCCTGAGGTGCTGATACTGTCCTGCACAGAACTGAAAAGACTTATTTGCATTTTTAAGGCTTGATGGAGGTGGTGCTGAGTTGTTTACAAAGGTATCTGCATCAAGCTTCAAAACAGTCTGCGCCACACTGTCACTGCAAAGAAGGTTAATTTTGTTTCTGCTAAGCTATTCCTACATTTAAACTTACTTCAGAGACAATTCACTGGGCAGCCTTTTAAGAGACTTTCTTTCTATTTCCTCTGCCACAGGCAGTATACTGCTAACTGCAAAGGTCTGGAACAACAAACATAGCACTAATATGTAGAACAAACCTCACTCATCTCAACTGATTAAAGAAAGTGTATTTACATTTTGTTGCCTTTAAATTACCCTCAAGTGTACCAAACGTATAAACAGCACAGGGTGAGAAGAAGCTGCAGGTAATAAAGCACTGCAGTTCTTTTTATTTTGTCTTACCATGAAAGCGCTTTGTGCCCTACATCATAAATTTGCTCACTTTGTCGATAGCTTTACCAAATCTCCAAATTCCTGTTGGTACAGAAATACAACAATGACCAAATGTAACTACAATTTTTCATTCTGATTCTTCTATGGGAAGTGTGAGGTGCATTTCTGCATGATGCAACATGTTAATTGTAACATAGAAGTGCAAACAGGGTCATCCTTGACCAGCCAGACCAGGATTAACCTACAATCAATTCCATCTATAGAAGTTTCTTTAAACTGTACACTTGTTTTACATTAAACAGGGAAAGAAAATAACCACTTAAGGACCACTTTTTAAACCAAAAAGTAAAAAAAAGAATAACGTTATATGAGAACTATGGATTTATTTTTTTTAAGCAAAAAATAGCCTCTCAAAAATTGTGAAAATAATTTCATTCCACACCTTATTTTACTTCCATTGTTGTGAAGAGGATTTACATAAAAGATTCACTGAGCTTCAGTTTCACATTTGCACTGCAAAACCCTTGCTGGAGCAATTTCTCAGATTATTCTCTGATTCTGAGAGAAGCTGCCTACCTGGATTTTGCCAAGAAGTTGCAGTGGCCCTTACAGATGTGCCTTACAGATTTGCTTCAAGCAGATGGTTGTACCTTTCAGTTCTGGTCCCCAGTGTCTGCTGGGGATGTGATGCATCATGAAAGGACTACCTTTGGACCAAATGGGTGCCACAGGAAAGGGTAAGAATGCTGACCTCAGATACAAGTATTACATCTCTTCCCTTACACTTTCAAATCTGCTGAAAAATATGAAGCAATCCTATGTAATGGTTCAGGTCAACCAGCACCAGCCCTCAGAACCACCTCAGGATAAGTTGCTGGAAGTGGCAGGCACCATATCACTCTACATACCCCATGCAAAGAACATACTGCCACACGCTGTCTGAAGATGAAAAGCAGTAATACACGTTGAGTGTGGCAGAGTACAGAAAACAACTACTGAAGCTGAGCTTATGACGTTGTTAAATAAAGTGTCCTCAAGAAATATATATATATATATATAAAAAGGCTCAAGAAGAAGAAGTATTTACTAAACACAGAAAGTGCAGAGGACCATCAGAAATTAGTAAAAGGCAAATATATGTTATTGTTCAAATAATTTCTCAAATAAACTCCACACACTCTAAAGGGAATAAGATTTCATTTATTAAGAATTACTCTGTAATTGATCTAATTGTAAATGATCTAAATTGATAAATGTCCTTCCCTTGTATTTAGCTAACAATGTTATGCATCAGATTTGTGCCCAACAACCTCAGAAATCCTATATGAAATTAATCTTAGAGTTACAAACATGTTGCACTGAAAAATTAACTGGCTGATGTTTATTGTAACAATATAGTTCGTTGGTATGTCTGATGCAATTTCTGGTTATATATTTTTTTTTAATGTTCAAAACTTCCTATAGTATTTGTACATCCTTGAGCTAACATCGACATTGCAAACGTGCTGTTGTACTAAGCACAGATGTCCTGAATTTAACAAAATTATGTTTCTTTTTTGTGTTTCCTCCAAATACGTACCCATTGATATATGATCAATAAAAGGACTTTCTTCAGTCCTTAAGACAGATCACATTACCACATGTTTCACCTTTACCTTTACCCAGCTGAACTGGCATGCTTTCGGACTTCATCATCCTCTGCTGCTGTGCCTGGTGGTGATGGTGCTGGTGGTGGTGATGATGCTGAGGAGCTTCCACTGTGCTTCTGATAGGCATTGCAGAGGGGGGGAAGCTGCTCCCGCCGGCAGGAGCACCCACAGCCCCACCTGAAGTCATAGCTGGAGCAATGAGCTTTCGGCCGAAATTCAGTAGACTGTTGGAGACTTTGTTAATGTTCAGTGGGGCAGCCTTAGCACTGGCACTGGAAAAAGAAGAGATCGTCACGTCCTTGACAGTGGCTTGGACAGGCACAGTGGTGCAAGCACTGTTCTCCAAAAGAATTCCAAGACTTGAACATTACACTGCACCCTTCCAATACTACAGCTGCACCATGATACACACAGGAACCACAGGGACTGCAGTGGTGTGAGCTTTTCACAGCCAGTAGTGGACAAATTGTTTTGGCCCTTTCTTCCTGAAAATTCCAGACTAATCCCAAAGAAAGAAAGTGTGCACCAAGTTTCTTAATTTGCCTTTTAAAATGAAAAAAAAAAAAAAGCAGCAATGACAAAAAGCAGTCCAGGCTCTAAAGCACCGAAAACTTCATGAAACTGACTCCTTGCACTTCTCAGCCAAAGACTGCTTTAATATTCTGTTAGGTTAAATTCTCTTAGATGTTTAAAATAACTCAAACCCAAACACTTCTTTTGACTAACACCAGACCGTATCTTTAGGCTGGCAGAGATAAGATGTTTCTTGCTCTTACCTCTGCCCAGCCCAGCCACTTCAACCCAAGCACTTTATAAAAGGAATCTTTATTTCTAAAGCGATTTTTGCTGAAGAATGATTTCAGGATGTAACACATATACTGGATCATGATCCTTATAATTGTTAATTTTTAACTACAGTGGCTATTTAATTCACTTCAGTTATATGCAACATTAAGAATGAGGAAACAATCGAACCATTTAATGTCTAAAATCAAGAGGCAAAGAAGGTTCTAATTCCCAGTAGAAGTGACCACATAACCCAGGGATCAGTAAAGCCATTCCTGTTTGTTCATGTAATATTTTCCTGTTTTATATAATTAGTGCTTGAAATACCCTTAACAGAAACATATCACAACCACGGAGACCCTTCCACTCCTGAGGTTTTATTTTAGTCAGCTGTACTTCAGTGATATAAATAGTTGTCTTTAACAATTTTGAAGAAATACATGTAATTAGAAACAATACAATCATTGTACTGGGGAAAAAAATAGTTTGGGGAAGTTGAGATAAAAATAAACTACAAATGAATTAATATGGGTGACTTGTAACTTGTGCAAGCACCTGGAAAAGTGATTTTGATTTGCTTTTCATATCATTTCCCTATTTGTCTCGAGATTTTTTTTTTAGAATACACAATATAAATGTGCACACACATATAGAACATATCCAGAAAATAACAACAGCTGAGTTATTTAGACTCAGAATAGATACAGTTAAAATGAGACAGCAGGAGAAAGAATGTGAGCCTGCACACTCATGAGATACAGCCCCAAGCTGCATGGGGCCCTTCTGCCATGTACTGGCGATTAAGAAGGACAGCACATAGCATTTTTTAGGTGAGCATCAGCACAAAGAGTGGGACAAAGTGCTGCTTCCCAACTTATGGAAGCTGGAAAGGAATGATTGCTTAATGATGATTACAGAATGCTTCTGTGTCTCCCGAGTTCATTGATTGCTGCTGATACTACAAAAAGTCTTCCTGTAGCCACCTGAGAATGACTGACAAAGTCACTACAAAGAGAGCATCTTCAGAACTATAAAATACTCTTGCAGGAGTCCCATATGGTTTCAAAAGCAAACTGAATACGTCATAATGATTTTAAAGAAGAGGACATAGTAAAATTATTGCTATTAAATTTTACATTGCCACTACCTATCAGATTAATTCAGTAATCAGTTCCCCAAGGTACAGCAGAGATACTTAAGGGAAAAAAAGAGATTTTTTCTATTCCGTCACATAGATGTTGCATCAGAAGAGTCAGCACAGGGCCTTTTGTTTAATGCCTTCTCCATTTCAGAAAGAAAACAAAGGTTGTAGATTTGAAGGTGAAAGAAGAAATGCCAAATGCTGGCTTAGCAGATCTCAATCAATTATCAGCAATTTGAAATGAATCTAATTAGATCCTGATTTCAAAGGTCATACCAGTAATAACTTAGCTGAGATTCAGAATCCAAACTTTGGTATATTTGGCATATATTTTCCTCTCATTCTGCTGAAACTAGCCACCCAAGAATGGGGTAGGATATATCATTCACTCACCTAAAACATCACCTTAGAATATAGTGGCTTGCACACTGAGTTCAGGTTTGTGTTGTCACAGGTCTACAACCTTGACAATCAGTAAAAAACCCTTGACTTTGCACAAAAAAAATGGTATTTACTGGAAGTAAATCTTTGACAGGCTACCTGAGCAACAAAACCACTGGATGCTTTGAGAAAACTGCACCATTGGAATCATGCTGGTCCACAGATGCAGGAGACAAAGCTTACACAGAGGCTTGTATTTGTGTCCAACAGGTTGTTTCCTTCTTGTTTCTTTTTTTTTTCAGCAATATTTTGCTTACTATAACCTATCAGTTTTCCTTCTACACTATTTAATTTGCTGCTTTCACATAAATATAAACCAGGAAAAGTTAGCTTAATTGCATTTTTCAGATGGTTGGAAAGAGACGTTTTGAGAAACTTCACTTTACAGGAACATTAAACACCAAAATTCTTCTCTAAGCCATTATTTATGAAATACAATTAAAAAAAATGCTTTCAACAATAACGTGCTGTCATGTTTTATGGCTATTTGAGAACTAGAAAGGATAGTTGTCGCAGCTCCTAATACTTGCTATGAACTGATACTGATAATTTCAGAATACATACATGAAAAATAATGATGCCATCCAAATTTATTATCAAGAGGTGGTCTTAAAAAAGGCATTCTGAAGTAAAATTTGTTGTGCAATTTCTCTGAATCACAGCTTCAGAAAATGAACAATAGCGAGGTGCTAGATCTCTGGAGGAGGTATGTTAAAACTGAGCTGAAGTTCAGGAACATAGGAACAATGTACCTGTTTCTTACCATTTAAATGTCTGATATATTAATGCAAAAGATGATTACAGTCATTAAACATGGAACAAGGTCTACATTTTAACCATCTAAATGTACCAGACATGCACAACGATTACAAGAAAAATGCTGATTGATGTTGTAGACTTATCAGCAGATGCATTTAAAAGTAAGGCATCGGTTTAAAAATATGAGTATCAAGGAGATGTGAATTCTGTCTATGAAGGAAACAACTTTGTTCCATCACAATAAGCATCATTGACCTTGACTGTGAATGGTGTATTTTTAAACTAGCAGTAGGAAGATGATTCAATCCCTGCGGTTTTCTGCTAAGATGAAAATGCTTTGTTTTAAGCAAGACTTATTCAAAGGCATTTCTCTCTTCAGTAGGTAGCCATTATGAGAGATGAGAGACAAATACATGAACATGACAGATTAGAAAGTTGTGTATGTGATAAAAGAAGCAAGATATATTAGCGATCTGCCAAGATATTTTAAATATATTATTAAGCCTGTGGAATTAAAGATGAAAAAGATCTGGTAGCTGATCTAGTCCATCTCTCTGCTCACTGCAGAACCATTTGCTAATGTTACCAGCTCTCTCTCCAGTCCATCTTAAAGAGATTTACTACACTTACACTTGACCTACTCTAAATGCTCCTGTGTTGGGATAAATTTATCCCAGTTATTTGTCTATCTGAACTACTGTAAACAATTTCTCCTCTCCTTTAGTGTGTGCCCTGTAGGTATGTGTGCAATGATTATATCCCCACATAAATTTAATGGACATCCGTTTCCTCAGAATATATATTTCCAACAGGTGTCATTCTTGTTCGGGCTTGATGATTTTTTATTTTTTATTTTTTTTCCCAGAATCCTTGAAATGTGTCTTTTGGAATTTTCAAATAACTTATTTTTCAAATTTAGACAACTCTTGAGACTATTCATTAAAAGAATAAATATAAACCCACCATGATATAAATACAAACCATCAAGAAAATGCAACAGAATGCAGTAATTTTTGACACCCTTCCCTAACTTTAAAGCCTACTTTTCCTTAAAAAAAATTTGCTTGTGCAATCACTACTCAGCTTTAATCTCCATTTTTAAGAGCTTTTTAATCCACTCCATTTTAATTTTAGCTAGCTTTTAGTGTAACTGGTTTAAACAGAATTTGACAGAGGTGCAAAGGTTGAAAAGCCTGCAAGTTCTTATGAAACAGCAGAGACAGTGTTTGGCCAGGGCCATGGGCAATGGCCAAATGGCAAGAAACTGCCAGTGGTGGTATAAAGTGAAGCAAGGCATTGCATCTTGTGCTGGCTTGCCTGGTGCCCATCAGCAGCCACCACCCACCTGCAACTAGTGCCCACTTTGTGGCCACCCAGCTGGGGCATGGGTACCTCTATACTTGTGACCATCAGACAAAATGGCTTTGACAAGGACTTTAAGCAGCAGTGGTACAAACCATTTGCAAAACAAGGGATGAATGCTGCAAAAAGGTTTAATAAAACTTACTTCAAACTGAATTTATATTAATTCTATTTAACTTACACAGCTTCTGGTGCATGGGTACTCCAGACTGCAATCAGATGCATCATCAGAAGTAGTTTGGCTACAGAACTCACATTGCCAGTGAGCATCACCTGCTGCTTCTAGTATACATGTCATTGAATATGAATGTCTTTAACCTTAAAAAAAATTCAGTGAGCTGACTGCAATACTTTCATTTTTCATGTAAGAATAGACAAAGTAAAGATTCAAAATAAATAGCATGAAATCAATACAAGTGCTTCTAATGCTGCTTATGTAATTCCTATTTGGGATAAAAGTGACTCTGATACATTTTTTTATGAAAGGTTTTAGTTCAGTGAGCAAATTCAGAACTAGCTTACCGGGTTTTGCTCATCAAGTCCGCTCCACGTGCTTTGTAATAATCTAGATTTTGTTGGAATTGATGAGTCACTGGTCTTGGATTTCTCTAAAAGAAAAAATAAATTTAAAAAAATTAAAAAGAATACCTTATTGGAATTTTCTGAGAGATTTAAAGAAAACATGAGAGAGACAGTCATTAATGAAGATCAGGAATGTAGAAATTGAAAGACCATTTCTTTTCCCAGGATCTTGGTTTCTCAAGGCCATAACGCCAGTTAGATATAAGTGAAGTCTTAAAATACTTAAAATACTACTAAGTGTTACCAGTAAGTCCACTCCATGCTCACAGAAAGTAGTGTTCTTTCACACAGCACTGAGGTTGAGGCTGTAGTGGTAACATTTCTAATTAAATCAATAATTCTTGGACAAACTCAGATACTGATATGAGGTCTTCCTTTAGGCCAGCTGTCGAGTTTTGCCAACTCCAAGCTAAAGTGATATTTAAAAAGAAAATAGTACTAGGAAGGAGAAACTACAGCTAACACTCTGAACTGAATGTATCACTAGAAATGCCCTGGTTAAGCAAAGAACTGAATTCCGTGATACAACGCACACTGCCACTAGATGGCACACGGAGCCTTTCTTCTCACCAAATTTCACTCTAGTCAAAACTGAGACCACAAGTAAGTTCTGCTACAATGAAACATATATAATTCATATTGAAGCCAAAAGCCACTTGTTAGTCTCTGCCTCTGCCGTAATGAACCTATTTCACTGAAACCCTCAGCAGTTCTGAAATTGTCCTTTCCGGATCTAATTATCTGCTGAACATTAAATTCAGACCAAAGTATATGCATAAAATCTCTTGATCAAATGAATGCATCCTGAAGGATGTTATTTGGAGGGGAAAGTAAATATCTGTAAGTAAAGAAATTTTCATACAGATGAAACCAAAGTAACAGAGAGGTATATATATATATACACACATACACACACATACAAAAACTGGAAGAGAAACAGCTTAAAGAAATGATTTATTTCTAGTGTAAAAAAAAAAATGGTAAATTTCTGCATAATAATCAGGTATATTGTACAAACCAGTTCTAAATACATTCCAAGTGTTTTGCTTTAAAGGTTTATATTACCTCATGTTCTGCTCTGCCTTCTTAATTCCTACTAGTAGCAAATATAGTTCCAAACAACTACACAATGAGCTTTTTGAAATAGTCATTCACAAATGAGATCCCATTATATTTCTGATGGAGTCAGACTTCAGCTGTTTCAGCTTCACATATCATATATTTGCCCTCCAGATTTCATTACAGATTTAAGCATCCACAGTTTTATCCTCTCATTTTCCACATAAGAGCAGATACCCTCGTTCCTTGTAAACCTTATTTTTGGAGGAAGATACAGGAGTTGCATTTTGAAAGACCAAAATATTGCATGTGCACAACAGACTTAAATAGGCAGTAGATATCAAAGGCCAGGATGATTTCTGGGGTCAAATTTAAGGCTGGGAATCTCCAGATAATTTCCTGCAGTCAGACTTAATCTTGTATGAAATGTCTCATTTTCTTTCTTTGGAAATACATCAAACATTTTTAAAGTATATCCTGTTTGTAATGTTCATTAAAAAATTAAACAACTAAAAGCTATTAGGCATTAAAAAATCCTTATCTATCCTACCACCCACATTGTAATGGCTGCCTATGTTTTAATTCTCCTGTTATAAAAACAATATTTGCATAACTCTGCCCATTCACATGGCTTGTAAGTCAGTCCTCATCAACTGACAGCAATAACAATGAATCAGCTTTAGTTACTATTGCTCTAGTTTGGTAATTCAGTGCATTTCTATGATAATCAAGTCCAGACTGACATGATGAGGATAACTGATGGTTCCGCAACTCCTGTGAGAGTAATAAAACAGTGTAACTTTTCTCCCAAGAATTAAATAACTTTTTTCTTTATATGTTTTGATGACCATTTCAACAAGGTGTAAGAGTAAGAGACGGCTAAAAGAACGGCACTTCTTAGTCATAAGACAAGTCCTTTGAGAAATTCATGCAAGCAGATGCTAGCTGATTTTTACAATTAGTTTCTAGTAACTCAGTATACATTCAAACTTAGCAAAGCCATCAAAATTTCTTTTTCCACCACTCAATAAATAAAAAAGATGACCACGCATTGTTTCTGACTAAATAAAAAATAAAAAAAAACAAACAAACAACATAGAATCATAGAACAGTTAGGGTTGGAAAGGACCTTAAGATCATCAAGTTACAACCCCCCTGCCATGGGCAGGGACACCTCACACTAAACCATATCACCCAAGGCCTCGTCCAGCCTGGCCTTGAACACTGCCAGGGATGGAGCATTCACAACCTCCTTGGGCAACCTATTCCAGTGCCTCACCACCCTAACAGGAAAGAATTTCCTCCTTATATCCAATCTGAACTTCCCCCGTTTAAGTTTTAACCCATTACCCCTTGTCCTATCACTACAGTCCCTAATGAAGAGTCCATCCCCAGCATCTCTATAGACCCCCTTCAGATACTGGAAGGCTGCTATGGTCTCCACGCAGCCTTCTCTTCTCTAGGCTGAACAGTCCCAACTTCCTCAGCCTATCTTCATACCGGAGGTGCTCCAGTCCCCTGATCATTCTCATGTCCCTCCTCTGGACTTGTTCCAACAGATCCATGTCCTTTTTATGTTGAGGACAGCAGAACTGCACACAATACTTCAAGTGAGGTCTCATATGGAACAATATCTTGAAACATATTTATGCAGAAATGACAAGCAATTCAAGACACGAAAGGCTGATCTACTATCTAAGCACTTAAAGCCATTAATAGAAATAATGATCTAACTCAAACATATTGAATGAGGCTCAAGCATTACTTTCACAGGGGCCTATTTAAATTCCTGTGAGGTTTTAAAGGTATCAAAGGAAGAAGCAGCTTAAAGTACTACATGCATTGTGAAAGACTGTAAAGTATTACATGCAGTGAAAGAAAAAGCCCTCAGAAAAAATGCTGTTGAAAAAACATTAGAAATGCCAGACAGCAAATACCAAGGGTTACCGCTGCAGCTCCTTTTCTAACACAACAGAGAAACCCTTTTGGAAGATTTCATTGTTCAAAAAACCACAACCTGACGTATATGTTATCAGACAAGTATCTGTGAAGTATCACCACAGAAATTCTTAACTGCTTCTGAAAACTCTAATTCTGAAAACTCAGACAGCAAAAAATATGATTTTATGAAGATTATGATCTTTATGTCATTGTGATGGTCCTTTAAATTTATATTCTTTTTAACAATTCCAATCAGTTAAATGTAAGAAGCGGAAATGAAAACCTACACAATTACAAAGTCTCTTCCTTATGAATTTAAACTCATTGCTCTCTGTAAGCATGCAATTTGAGCTGTGCCCTATTATATTCAATGTATTAGGACTGAAGGCTAAACAATCTACAGCAAAACATAGCTCTGTTGATTAAAATATTCACAGTAACCACATCTTTTTTCCCTACACAGTGCACTTGAGAATGGCCCTATTTATATTTTTAATTGCTTAAGCAAGTAAAGTTTTTCCTTTTTTTTCAATTTGTGTTCTGACTAAGTACCTCAGATAAAATATTTGTTCTTAAAAGGATAATGTTAAAATGAGAGTGAAATCAACCCTTCCAATTAGCAGTTTGTTGAATCCCCTAAAGAAATTGTGTAAGGGCATTATACAGATTAACATATTTATGGTTTTCCCCTTCTAAGGAAAGACGGTGCAGAAATTACAGAGAAAAGCTGCCTGCACCCATACTAGAAATCCATCTTTCTCACACCCATTTTTTAGGAGCAGTCTGCTGGTTTTATCATTCTTCTACTCTTAATTTCTAACTACAGCAACCTTAGTTTCAACTGGTAGAAAATGCCCAATTTATACTTTTAAAAGGATAGTTTAAGAAATTGAGATATAGAAACGCACAGAAATTGATGTGATTTTGGACTCTTTCTCTTCAAAATACATTAGTCCTGCCCAGAGGGAAGAGATGCCTTAAAATGTTTCAGGTATCTCTGAGATTCTCCTGCTTCTGAATCTGTCTTAGCCTAAAAGATGCCACCTCGTCATCTGCCTGCTTAAGTCCTAACCCCTGTTCTCCTTTTGTTCTCAGCCACTACCAGACTGGCTCACTCCAGTTCCTGTGGCGTGCAGAAGGCTTTTGAGGGCTTTCTTATTTGGCTTAATTCACCTCCACGGTCACAGAGGGGACCCATGCCTGTTCTTTTCCTAGGCAGGGGGCTGAGGTCATAGTCAGTATCACACCAATGCAGAAAAGATTCCCTAAACCTGCATAAACTGCTGAAAAGCAATTCCCAACAGCTAAGGATCGTACTCATTCACTCAAATTCCCCACTATAACCCTTTTCCTCCCTGGTCTCTGGAGACATACTGTATTACAGAATATTACCCACAGAATAGATAGGATATAGTAAAGCATGCTTGTGCATGACAGAAGTCACAGGCAGACTGCTCTACAACATATTAGGAAAACCAGTTACTGCAATGTAATATTACGTTTCACCATCTCAATACACACCATTTGTAAAAGCTAACATGCAGATGCAAGTGGAAGAATCTCTCTAGCACTCTTCTCCTTTGCTGAGGTAGTTCCCGACTTCTCTGTTCAGTATTATTAACAGGAAAAAAAAAAATCAAATGCAATTTTGCACAAAGTCTAAAGGCTCAGAATAAGAGACAAAAATGAAAAAAGAATTTCAATATGTCTGAAGAAAAAATGAGACTTATTTTAGTGAACACGCTATTGCTTTAATGCCAAGGGAAAAGCACTCGTCATTAGAGAAATGAATTGCTCAGCTGTTTATAAGCAAAAAGCTCTGGGGGAATTTCTCAAGGCCCAAACCACAAAGCATTGCAGGGTTACACAAACATATGTTGCAGGTGTTTTAGGATAGACAGGTGGGAAAACCTCAGCTACTGAAAAATACTCTACTTAATAGACTGTATCTGAAACTAGATAACCTAAATGAAACAGAGAAAAAACAAACAAAACAGCAGCAGTGAATTATACATACATGCAGCAA